AGAGGGCAGGCTGACAGCTGTTGGTGGGGGGCAGTTAGGGTTGGGTGTGTATGGGGGGGGATTGAGAAAAAAAACACAAAGAGAGAAAAAACCTCAAAAAATAAAACAAAATTTTAAAAAATCCAATTATGATATACAAATTTCTTACAAAGATTTAAGTTACAGCCAATAATATTGTAATAACTATGCCTGGTGTCAGATGGGTACTAGACTTATCAGGGTGATCACTTCATAAGGTATATAAATGCCTAATTACTTTGTTATACATCTGAAACTAACATAATACTGTATATCAACTATAGTTGAAAAATAAAAAACTCAAAAAGTAGCAATGAGGAAAGAGATAAAAGGTAAAACAGAAGGTTTCAGAGAAAGGTGGCTGCGACCCAAAAAGGAGAAAGAGGAAGAGTTTTGCTCTGAATTGTTAAGCACCGTGCAGCATAGCTTGCCCTTCACTTGTCTTGACTTTGGAATCTTCGAGGAATTTCTGTGAGAGAGTGCAAAGTGACCAAGGGAAGGACTAACTAGATCTATGATTCACATGCAAGAGAAAAGTCTGTCTGGGAACAAAGGCAAAGGCAGGCGAGGGTCACCGGTAAGGGACAAAAATGCAGGCCTTTGAGCAGTGTTGAGAGACTACGCTAGGGAAGCTATGTCAGCTCGGAACCTGCCATGGCCCGTGCGGAGCTTCAGTCAGAATGTTCAGTATGTCGTCCAGTTTTTCTGGTTGTCTTCTGGGAGGGCCGGTCTGAATTAGTCAGTCTGCTGTTAATAAAAGTAGAAGACCCTGTTCTTTCGAGACCCTGGAGCTGGTGGATGACAGCCTGGGGAGACAGATTCTTCCTTCCATGACACTCTTTCCTTTGAGTTTTAAGTTGAGGTTCTGACCAAAAGAGTGAAACGAAGACAGTGGTCACGGTTGCCCTGCATATCCGGGATTCTCCGTCCTGAGGCTGAGCTGGCTGAGGAATACGGACTGACAGCCAAAGTAACTAGATGCCTGAGGAGCACATTCAATGTTAAAAAAGGCCACCAACTGAACCACAGAAGCCATATTATTGGAAAGGATGGGATAAAAATTTAAGATAAATATTAATAATAATTCTTAAAAGATCTAAATGACTATATTAGCAATGGTCTGCAAAGTTTCCTTTGAGAAATCAGCTGATAGGGGTTTTTTTATAATTAAATTTATTGGGGTGACATTGGTTAAAAAGATTATATAGGTTTCAAGTGTACAATTCTGATACATCATCTGTATATTGCATTGTGTGCCCGCAACCCAAAGTCCAATCTTCTTCCGTCACCATGTATTTGACCTTTACTACCCCCCCCTTCCATCTGATACCCACCATACTGCTGTGTCTGAGATTTTGTGTCTTTCTTGTTTGTTCATTTGTTGCTTTGTTTTATATCGCACATATGAGTGAGATGCAATAGTGCTTAGCGCGATATTCTCAACATCTATCCATGTTGTTGCAAATGTCAGTATTTCATCTTTTCTTACCACTGAGAAGTATTTCACTGTATATATGCATCACCTTTTTTTTTTCTCTTTTAATTCTCACCAGAGGATATGTCTTCACTGATTTTAGAGAGAGAGGAAGGGAGAGAGAGAGAAACATCGATGTGAGAGATTGATTGGTTGCCTCCTGTATGTGTCCTGACCCGGGATCGAACCCACAACCTAGGTATGTGCCCTGACCAGGAACTGAACCCGCAATCCCTTGGTGTATGACACGATGCCCCAACTAACGAACCGAGCCATCCGTCCAGGGTCATATCTTCTTTATCCAATCATCTAGCGAAGGACACTTCAGTTGTTTCCATGTCTTGGCCACATGACTAAAGCTGCAATGAACATAGGGGTGCATATATCTTTGCCAATAAATGTTTTCAAATTTCTCAGGTAGATACGCAGAAGAGGGATTTATGGATCATATGGTAGCTCTATTCTTAGTTTTTTTGAGGATCCTCCGTACTGTTTTCCATAGTGGCTCTACCAGTTTACATTCCCTCCAGCAATGAATGAGAGTTCCTTTTTCCACAACCTCTCCAACACTAAGGTGGTATCATGAGGTGGTATCTCATGGAGTTTTGATTTGCAGTTTCCTAATAGCTGATGAAGTTGAACGTCTTTTCAAATATCTGTTGGCCATTTGTATGTCTTCTTGGGAGAAGTGTACAGGTCCTCTGCCCTTTTTAAAAAATATATCTTTATTGATTTCAGAGAGAAGAAGGGAGAGGAAGAGAGAGAGAAGCATCAAAAATGATGAATAGTCGTCATTGATCAGCTGCCTCCTGCACGCCCCCGACTGGGGATCGAGCCCGCAACCCCGGCATGTGCCCTGACTGGGAATCGAACCCCGATCGCCTGGATCCTAGGCTGACACTCAACCGCTGAGCCACGCCTGTCCCGGCCCTCTGCTCATTTTTTAATTGAGTTGTTTGTTTGGTGTTGAGTTGTATGAGTTCTTTCTATATTTTGGATATTAATTCCTTGTTAGAGCTGTTGTTTACAAATATCTCCTATTCGATTGGTTGCCTTTTGTTTTGTTGGTGGTTTCTTTTGCCGAGCAGAAACTTTTTAGTTTGATACAGTCCTAGTCATTCATTTTTGCTTTCACATCCCTTGCCTTTGGGGTCAAATTCATAAAATCCTCTCTAAGACCAAGGTCCGTAAGTTTAGTACCTAACCTGACAAAGAAAATAGACAAGTGCAGGAAAGGTTTTCTGTATAAAGAATCATTCATCTGCAAAAAGTGACACTTTTACTTCTTCCTGCCTGGTTTGGATGCTTTTTCTTCCTGTTGCTGATGGCTCTGGCTAGGACTTCCAGAACCATGTTGAACAAGAGTGGTGAGAGTGGGCATCCTTGTCTTGTTCCGGACCTTAAAGGGAAAGCTTTCAGTTTCTCACCATTGAGCATGATATTAGCTGAGGGTTTGTCCTACGTGGCCTTTATTATGTTGAGGTACTTTCCTTCTATAGCCATTTTATTGAGTTTTTAAATTATAAATGGGTGTTGTATCTATTAAATGCTTTTTCTGTATTTATTGATATGATCACATGATTTTTGCCCTTCCTTTTGTTAATGTGGTGTATCACATTGACCAATCTGCATACGTCAAACATTCTTGTGGCCCTGTAATGATCGGCTGACAGTCTTACGGGTGTCCCTTTGTAGGTGACTCTCTTTCTCTTGCTGCTTTCAACATTCTCTCTCTGTCTTTGAGTTTCCATTTAAAATATGATGTGTCTTGGTTTGGGATTTTCTAAACTTCCTGCACGTGTTTGTCTATTTTCTTTGTCAGGTTATGGAAGTATTCAGTCATGATTCCTTCAAATCGGTTCTCATTTCCTTGCTTTCTCTTTCCCCCTTCTTGTGCCCCTACAATGCAAATGTTGTTATGCTTGATGTTATCTCAGTGGTCCCTTCAACTATTCTTATTTTTAAAAATTCTGTTTTCTTTTTGCTGTTCTGATTGGGTGTTTTATGCTATCTTGTCTTCCAAATCACTGACTCAAACTTCTGCTTTAGCTTATCTATATTTAAAGACATTTTTTTTTTAATCCTCACCTGAGGATATTTTTTCCATTGCTTTTCAGAGAGAGTAGAGAAAGAGAGAGGGAGGGACGGAGAAACATCGATGTGAGAGAGACACATCAATTGATTGTCTTCTGCTTGAGTGCTGACTGGGACCAGGGATTGAGCCTGCAACTGAGGTATGTGCCCTTGGCCAGAATCAAACCCAGGACCCTTCAATCTGCAGGTGGACCCTCTAACCACTGAGCTAAACCGGGAGGGCTATTTAAAGACATTTTAAAGTAGAAATATCTGAGACAATAGAAACATAATTTTCTAAAATTCTGGAACAGTATTTCCAAGTGATGTCAACAAAATTAAGGAGAAATGGGGTTAGTAAATAAATTGTACAAACATATTATAAAACTCCGTACAGCCATATTATTTAAAAAATTTTAGAACCCCTTGTTTCATGGTATTAACAAAATTACATAACCCATAAATGAATATGATATATTCATGTACTTATGTGTGTGTACATATGTAACTACATTGAGAATGTGGGATACAGGGGTAAGGGAAGACTGCTAATACTCTCAATATTTGAATTTTGTATAAGCATGTACCTAGGCCTTGTTTTGTAACTTGTAAGAAGTTTAAGGCAAATAATAACCAGAACATATAGTACATATAACACTTTACAGAATATGGCCAATGACGTATACAGAGGGAAATGCATAGCCTTCTTATTAAACAAGAAAGAATAAAAATTAATGAAAGTCAACTTAATAAGCTAGAGAAAAAGGAGAAAATATAAGTTTTTAAATATCAGAAAAAGAAGCTGAAGCTCATAAATTAGAAAAACAGAAAAAGCAGATTGATAAATCCAAGAACTGGTTGTCTTAAAAAACACACACAACTAGAAGCCTAAACACTAATGAGATAAAACAGCCTCTTTTTGTGTTTTTTCATAAATAGTGCACACATACAAGGCACACACATTTCTAAGGTCCTTTTGTCTCCAGAGACTGGTGTGGGGATGTGGTAGGTGGCTTCATACAGACAGACCATGAGTGGACAACTTCAAGTCCCATCCTGGATGTTGGTGTTTTTGCCTTTGTGGTTGGTATGGGGTGAAGGAGGTTCTTGTTGGCCATTCAGGCCACATAACACCCAGCTTTAGATCTCTTGTGTTGCTTGGACATCTGATAATATCCATGCCCTTAGTAGGCATGGATATTACACACACACACACACACGTACACGCACACGCACACACACAGTTCTTCCTTAAAGATGAACTCTGGGGCCAAGGTAAAGGTAATATATCAAAGAGCATTCCTTTTCACCTTTTNACGTACACGCACATGCACACACACAGTTCTTCCTTAAAGATGAACTCTGGGGCCAAGGTAAAGGTAATATATCAAAGAGCATTCCTTTTCACCTTTTGGGAGGACTGGGTATGCCAGGGTTATGAGTGAGTGCTTTTGGTGTGGTTGAGCCCTGCACACAGCACTTCTTGCCCATCCTATATGGACCCCAGGGCAGGAGAGTAATACAGGCCAGAGGCAGATGCCCCATTCGAGATTTGGCCATATGCCCTATATCTCCCAGCATGTGACTGGACAGCCCAGGTCAGGCAAACACCTGGGATCCCTGACCCCAAAGAGTAGAGAGCGCCCACCTGGATCAGACTGTGATTCTGGCTTTTATTCCTCGACATCATAACGTTCCGCCACTGCAGGTACTTCTCCTGGTGGGCAAGGATCTCATAATTGAGGGTGGAATTCCGACTTCGAAAGTCCTCAAGATTGGAGGTAGGATGAGGCAGCATGGCCACAAAGTTCCCATCGGTGAGTTCTTCTAGTGAAATGGGCAAGCCAAACTTTTGGCTCAAGTCTTTGATCATGGCAGAGGAAGGCAGCAAGTCTCTTGTGATCACCTCCCTGAGCTTGGTGGTGTAATGACAGATGTAGTAGATCCTGGAACACAGAAGGGCCACCCTACTCAGCCTCACCTACCTGGCAAGATAGGCCCCACTGCACCCAGCCCGTATCCTGTGGCGCCTCTCTAGCATAGCGCCTGGCCTGAACCTCTTGGCTACAGTGCACCCCGGGCTCGCTCAGTGCCCACACTGCACTCTTCATAGTCGGTCTCCTCTTCTAACCCAGGTCTGCTTCTCTTAGCCCTGCTCCTAGAGCAGGCACCAGAAAGTGGCCATTCTACACAAATGGAGGAGCAGGAGGCGCGCGCAGCTTCCCAGGGTGGGGAGTGCCCACCGCCGAGGGCCTGGGAAGTCACCAGGGCTGGAGCAGCAGCAGCCCCAGCAGCACGGGCAAAGGGGCGCAGTAGTCAGAGATCCAGATCTTTGGAGAATGGCTTTCTGAGGAATAGGGAGGGTAGAACAGGGGATCCTGGGAGAAGCAGACAGAAAAGCAGACATCTAGTTGAGAAAGCTGTTGGCCTGGTGGACCTGGGAGTTTCCCACCGCTCACTGGGAAAATGGGTTTTCACCGGTTTCTCATTCCTCAGGCTATGCTAGGATAGTCTCCAAGGGCAGCAGGTAGGTTCATGGGACATGTGTTTGAACAAACTGTTTTCATTTCACCAAAACATTTCTCAAACTCTCCCAGGAGAGCATGTGGAAGAGTGGAAATGACCCAGGCTCGGGGTCCCTTGGAACTGCACTCCACCCCTGGCTCTACTTCTTTGGGCATAAAGAGTAACAACTGCACCTCAAAGGGTCACCGCACTGCCCACAGTCAGGTCGCCGCCACAAGGCAGCTGGCAGCTCCTGTCCCTGCAGCGGGCGCGGTGCGCACCTGGTCAGGGTCTGGAAGGCCTTCTTCATCACGCTGTTGTGGAGGTAGAGCGCCATGTGCTTCATGAGCTGTGACAGTGGCTTGAAGAGGTGCACGTGGTACAGGATGGTGTCCATGTCTGCGTAGAGGCGGTGCTGAAACAGCAGCTGAGAGTTGTAGAGCACCTTGTGTTTCCTGTACTCTGATTTGGTAATTCTGCAAAAGGAGGCCATGGGACAGGGTCTGCACCCTGCTCCGCGGGCTCTGGCACCACTGTTGTTCTGCTCTGGCTGACAGAGGTGGTTTTTGTTTTTTGGCTTGTTTAAAACCTCGAAGGGGAGGTTGGCTGTGAAAATGCTGAGACCAGCCTCATGTTGCTTGTGTCCCACTGCCCTTCCCTCACCCTCCACCCTGGTACTCACTTTTGCTCACTGGCTATACCAGCCTGGCTGTTTCTAAACGCAGCCTGCTATGCCACCCCCTGTGTTTGGCACACATAGTTCCCACGCCTCACTGAACCTGGTGAAGTCCATATGTATCCTGCACATACTGCTGGGGGACCTGTGTTGTCATGGGGTTTCCTCCATGAAGTGTGTGTTCCAGTACTTGCCTGTTCTCCTTTGGGACATTTTCACTGTTTTCTTATCGATTCACAGGTGTTTAATATGTTCAGCATACTAGCTCCACACACTGTAAATATATTTTTTCTCTGTTTGTGTTTTCACTATTTTTATGGTGTTTTTGGATGAAGAGAAGTTATTAATTTTAATGTAGCCAAATCTATCATTATTTTCCTTTATTCTTTGTACTTCTGCCTTATTCAAGAAATCTTTCTTTATTCTGAGGTTGTGAATACATTCTCCTTTATTATTATCTAAAACCTTTAAACTACTGGTTTTCAAAAATAGATTTTTCTCATGAACTATGGGTAAGCCCAGGTAACTGTGGTCCAATTAATTGTACTGGGTCCACCAATAAGGCACTTTATGTCAGATGTCACCATTGAGAGAAACTGGGTATTGGGTACATGGAACTTCTCTATGATAATTTTGTGACTTATTATAAGTGTATAATTATTTCAAATAGGTTTTAATCCACCTGGAATTGGTCTTTGTAAATTACATGAGCCAGCAAATTAGGAAACCATTAGTGAATTAGGAATAAAGTAGAACTTCCCCAAATTGGTAAACGATNGTGTATAATTATTTCAAATAGGTTTTAATCCACCTGGAATTGGTCTTTGTAAATTACATGAGCCAGCAAATTAGGAAACCATTAGTGAATTAGGAATAAAGTGGAACTTCCCCAAATTGGTAAAAGATATCTACGAAAGCCTATGCCTAGCATAATATGGGAAAGACCCCATGCCTTCCACCAGAGATCAGAAATAGGCAGGATGCCACCAGTCAGATATAAAATAATACTGCAGGTCCTAGCCAGCACACTAAGGAAGTGAAGACATGCAATTTGGAAAGCAAGAGACTAAACTATCCCTATTTGCTGATGATATGATGGTCTATGTAGAAAATCCCAAGGAATCTACCAAAAACAAACAAACATTCCTCAAGCCAACAAGTTTAGCAAGGCTGCAGGATGAACAAAGAAAAAATCATATTTTTATATACAAGCAATGAACCCTTAGAAACTGAAATTAAAAAGACTATACCACTTAACTCAAAAATAAAATACTTAGATATAAATCTACCGAAACGCATACTGAACATGTATGTTGAAAACTACAAAATCCTAATGAAAGAAATTAAAGACCTAAATAAATAAACATACCATATTCATGGACTGGAAGACTCAACATGGCAATGATGTCAGTTTTCCCCCAGATAATAAGTAGGTTTAATGATTCCTATCAACATTCTAGCAAGACTTTTTATAGATATAGACAGCCTATTATAAAATTTATATGAAAAGGCAAAGAAACTAGAATAGCTAAAACAACTTTGAGAAAAAAGAATAAAGGGGAAGGAATCGCTCTACTTGACTGATTATATAGCCACAGTAATCAGACTGTGTGGTATTAGTGAGGGGATCGATACATAGGTCAATGGAACAGAATAGAGAACCCAGAAATACATCCATACATTTAGGACTCACTGATTTTTGATAAAAATGCAAAAGCATTTCCATAAAGGAAAATGTATTTTCAACAAATGGTGCTTTGGTAATTGGATATGCATTGGCAAAAAACAAACTAACAAAAAACCCCAAAACTAAAACAGAACACAAACTCAACCTAGGTTCCTGCTCAAGATGGTGATGTAGGAAGATCCTGAACTCACCTCCTCCCACAGACCTGACAAATCTGTAGCTACATATGGAACAGTTTTCTCTGAAAAAAACCCCCCCACAAACCCTAAAAACTAGCAAGACTGACCTCCTCTTCATATAGGTCTTCCCTTCAACTAAAGGCAATCAGTGCGTCTTGTTAGAACATCCAATTACAGAGCCCCGAGGAACGCCGCACAGTAAACCCCGAGGAAATGAGCGAATGAACCCCTCTCACAGCAGACAGGGAACCCCAGGTTGGTTTTGAAAGATCTCCCCACTCACTCAGTACGCAGATGCCACCTACCGGCCTTGGTGGCTCTCCCACAGCCGCTTCAAGCCTTGGTCAGCCAAGCCTTCCAGAATGAGGAGGTGGGTCTTCCCATCCAGCAGGTGGAAGCCGGTGAGCACGTCCAGGTCCTGCCTTTCCTGGATCTTCACCCGGACCTTGAAGGCGGACAGGATCTGCCGGATGGTGGCCATGGGGTAGGAGTCCAGGTCGAGGGCTCTGGCGTTGATCATGGTGATGTCCTGCAGCACGCTGTACAGGAGGAAGCTCTTCCTGGAGTCAAACACGAAAACGATGCGGCCAAACTGGGCGTCGGCGAGGTCGGGCTCGGGGCCTTCTGCTGCGGCCTGCAGGGGCACCGCGATGTCTACCCGCAGCTTGAGCAGGGAGTTGGCCTCCAGGTAGTTGCCCATGGGCATTGGGCCGCAATGGAGGACATCTGTAGGGACCCTAAACCCCACAACTTTCCTGCTCCTGCTGTCCTGGCCGTGGTGTATGGGCTTGGACTCACAGCTGTGGATGGGGACAGCCAAGTTCAAGTACTTTTGGCCAAGGAGGAGGTCAGCAAAACTTACCCGGGCGATGCCATAAGGGTCCCACGTTTTGTTTTGGGATTCAAAGGGGTTGTTCTCTGTCTCTTTGGGAGAGATGAAGGCCTGGGAGTTGAGGTACGAATCCAGGGGGTCCTCCCCAAACAGGGTGGGCTTCCGGGAATACTCCTCTGACTTTCGGTCCCGGTCATGAACTTCTACCACCATGGGAGGGCCCTCCAGGTATTCCCTCAGGTCACTGGGGTGAATTGCCCCAAGGAAGATGACATTGATGTCCTGGAAGGAGACGCGGCTTCCATGGGGCTGCCCCTCAGTCTGGTGAACCGGAGCCTTATGAAACTGGTACCTGCAGTACACGGGGGTGCAGAGCCTCTGTGAGAGAGCCAGGGGACATCACGTCACTGGACTGCAGTGGCAGTCACTCTGTCTCCCCTCTAAAGGGCGGTGCCCAGTGCAGGGGCTCGAGTCCCAGTGCCACTCTCACCCCCCAGCCACCCACCCCCCACAGCGCCTGCAGCCTGGGTTTCCTCATTCACAAAACACCAGCGAGACAGCCTGCTCTGCAAGGTCGTTCCCAGGGCTGAGGGACATATTTGAAAGCACCAAGATGGTGGCTGGCACAAGAATAGGCTCCCAAACTGAGTGCCACGAAGACAGGCCATGCGCCTTTTTCACGTCTATATTTCTAGCTCTTAGCCCAAGGTCAGGCAAAGAAACGGTGGACACCAGTGAACTGTATTTTCCAGACATGCATGGGAGGGACTGGCACAGGCTCATCTTTACCACATTAAGCATCCAGCTGGAAAGCTGCGGCAAGGGCAAGAGAGACTCAGAGAGGTCTGGGCTTAAGAGGGCCTGGAAAATGAAATGGGACGGAGGGCAGAGCTGTGCGAGGCAGAAAATAGGGAACTTGGTATATTTTCACGTGGTGCTAAGATTTTATAACCAAAAGATAACTGTTACACAAGTTTGTTGTCCAAACTCATATCTCAAGTGCCTTATTTATTTTACACCGATGCTGAAAATTTATTTTAAAACAATCCTGGGTTGGCAGTGCTTCCAGGTTGCTGGAAGAAGTGATTAAGAAACCTTTCTGGAGAAATCCACTTTCAACCTACGCCCCAAGGAATGGGTGGGAGGCTCCCTACGGGACAGAGTGGGGGGAATCGCCTGTTGATTTCTCTCCTGGCTCTGCCCTCAGGCGGGTTCAAGTTCCAAGGCTGAAATTTGGTGGCAGTGACAGCAGCTGGGCTGGCACCTGAAAATCTGAGAAGAGAGGAATCCTCTTTGGCCAGACAAACTGTGATCCAGAGAGTGTGCGGAGACGCCTCATTATCGTTTTCTCTGTATTATATTTCCCCACAACCTGTTCTCAGAGGCAGACCCAGTCCCAGGAAGGGCATGTGGAAGTGGCAACACTAAAGCTACACCCTTTGAGCCAACAGACCAGGGAGGGGACTCCTTAGGAGTGGAGGGTAAGGAAAGGGGAGGAACCAAGAAAGGGGCTCCATAACTCTGCGTGTAAACTCCTGGGCTTATTCCCGAACTGCGCCTGTATGGCTCTGATATTAGGTAGCATACTAGAGTGTTGAGAACCAAACTACAGGGTGGACCACTGCACAGGCCTCAGGCTGGTCTCCGCGGGGTGCACATGCAGGACAGACGTGAACATCACTGTAAAATCTTTGAAAACTGAACTGACAAATCCACTGCCCACAGAGGGTGGGTTGGAACCTGCAGCTTGACTCTAACTGAGTCTGTTGTCTAATAAGACAAAACTGCCAACATTCTCCATAAGATTTAAACAAGACTCAGAGTCTCATAACAGAATATTCCAAATGTCTAAGATACAATCTAAATTTACTTGATAGACAAGAACCAGGAATGTTGACCAATTATCAAGGGGAGAGACAAACAAAAGATACCAGCTCTGAGGTGACTCAAATATTAGAATTATCAGGTGAAAACTTTAAAACAACAATTATAGCCATGCTCCAAGAAGTAGCAAAAATGCTCTTGAAACAACTGGAAGGTAGCCAGTCTTAGCAAACAGAAACTACAATGCGGGTCCAAATGAAAAATTTCAGAATGAAAAAATTCAATAACTGAAGTAAAAAATTCACTGGATGCTCCAAACCAACATGGAGATGGCAGAGAAAAGATAAGTAAACTTTCAGATAGAAAAGATGTGATCTGAAGACACAGAGAAAAAAGATGGAAAATTACAAAGTAAAGAGAGCCTCAGAAACCTGTGGGGCAATATCAAAAGGTCTGACATTTGTATCATCAGAGTCACAGGCTGAGAGGAGAAAAGATATTTGTAGAAAATATATTTCAAGAAATAATGTCTGGCCCTGGTGGGTTTGGCTCAGTGGCTGGAGGGCTGGCCCGCAGACTGAAGGGTCTTGGTCCCATTCCTGTCAAGGGCACTATCTTGGTTGCCCGCTGGACCCTTGGCCCAGTCAGGGTGCGTGTGGCCCAGTCAATCAGTGTGTCCCGCTCACATCAGTCTCCCCTCCCCTCCCCTCCCCTCCCCTCCC